CCTTACACCGACTGTAATTTGCTTTCTTTCTCTCTGCCTTCTGGGGGGGGGGGGGGCGCCAACTGACATGCCACTGACGGGAGAGGGGAATGATTTTTTTAATTGATTTTGGCAATGTATTTTATTTCTAGTTAGCACCGTGAGCCTTTTGATAGATATTAGTGTCCCTTTATAGAAAGGGAAAGGGACACTAATAGATATTTAGAAATAGCGCCATCACAGTGGTCATTTTATGAATGCCTAGACAGTTCTTTTCCTTTAAAAATGTTCTCCCGTTGACACCTTTTGGGCTAAATATCCATCTCTCATGTATGTTGATTTTGTTTTCTTTTTAGCATAATTCTATCCCCTAGGACAGGCATGGGACAATGTATATATTGTCCCTCACCTGTATGTATATTATAATGTACACACATACACGAAAATGAAATCATATGGAAATATCAAATCAAATAATTTTAATCACAAACTATACCTATTTAGAAGTCCTTGAGAAGAGGGGACAGTCTCTTCTCCCCATCGCCCTCACTGTCCCCCCCCCCCCCTCTCTCTCTCTCTCTCTCTCTTTCTGCTCCTTACAACGTGTCCACTCCTCTCTTGTTGACCTGTCTCATCCTGAATTCTTTTCCTTCGTCCTATATATATATATATATATATATATATATTGGATAAGGCAGACTAATGGAATAGACCAAATCTAAGTATATATATATATATATATATATATATATATATATATATATATATATATATTTCTTTTTCCTGTTAACTATACATTTCTTAGCGACAAAGAAACAAAAAAGGGGAGAGGCGGGGGCAAGCCAACATGTGCCACTGCGATCGCCTAATTGCGAGCCCTTAGGGGGTGGGTTCCAGGGGCAATGAGCCCCTGTCCTGGTTGTCCCGGGGGCGGAGCCCATCCATGGACGCTCTCGAGTTTAGCCATTCTGAATCTTCAAGATAACCGTCTTGAGCGATGGAACACAACCTTTCTCCTCCTGAAGGACAATTTTATACAACAAATGGCTGTCTTATGGGAATTCCACTTCTATATTGACGGATGGGGGCCTGCATGCCTTCGGGCCCCTTCGGTTATGAAGGACAGTACCTGCCCTCACCTCGGGTCCAGGTGGTGGAGTCCCGGTCCGGAGGGGTCGATCCAGGTGGTGGAGCCCCCGAATCAGCTCTTGAGTTTTTAGAAATTCAGCTAGAGCCATTAAGATACCGTAGCTCATATAAAATTTAATACAAAAAAAAAGAAAAGATACCGGTAGCTGACTTGAGCGATAGAAACACACACTGGTTAAAGCTTCACAGGCGCGGATCCAGGGGGGGCCGAGCGGGCCTTGGCCTCCCCCCCCCCCCCCGCAAAAAAAAAAAAAAAAAAAAAAAAAAGAGAGAGAAGAAAGGAAAAGAAGGGAAAGGGAAAGAGGAGAGAAAGGGAAAGAAAGAAGAAGAAGAAGAAGAAAAGAAAAGGGGGAAGAAGGAAATCGGGGGGGGGGGACCGAAAGGGCCTTGCCTCCCAGGCTGTTGACCCCCTCCCCAATTAAAAAAATAGGAGAGAAGGAAGAAAAGGGAAAGAATAAAGGAAAAAGGGAAATACTGGAGTACTAATAGGGGGAGGGGCTTTGGAGAAATCAAATTCGAACGTGGTTTATTTCTAATTCCACAACGGTGGATTACAAATAATGCTGAAATGACATAATTTCCCAGATTTGTCCTCATTTTTTAGTAAATTATACGTTTGTATATGTTTTTGTTGGAAAATGACAAATTTCTGAATTTACAGCCAGGCACGAAATATGATTCTTGAGATTCCTACATGTCAGGGCCCGAGGTACGGCAGGGATCGGGAGCCTCGAGCCCCCCCCCCCCCACTTTATTTGAAAAAGTATATTAAAGAGAAAAAAAATAGAATGAGAGCAAGAAAGAAAGAATAGTTAACTGCCAGTGTTAAAAAATGAGGCATCAAAATATGCTCATCTGACCGTGATTAAATGCCTAAAACCCCTAAGCTTCCGGGGGCTCTGCCCCCTGGATTCCACCTTGGGTGCTACGGCGGGCCCTTAGATGCTCATCTGACGGTAATTTAATGCCTAAAACCCCTCTTTTGGGGGGATCCGCCCCCCAAAAAGTGACCTGCCAGTGTCACAAAATAATAGGTATTAAAAAAAAAATGATCATCTGACCTTAATCAAACGCCTAAACCCCTGAGCTTCCGGGGCCGGACAAGTTATCAAAATGTGTTTATCTGACCGCAGGCGCGTAGCCAGGGGTAGGGGGGGCGGTCCCCCCCAAATCGGAAGAGGACGTAGGAAGTAAAAGGAGCAGACAAAGAACATCTTTGAAATTCAGACAAGGATTAAGAGTATAGAGAACGGTACAACGCATCGTCTTCTTTCTCTAATAATTTAATGAAACGTCAAAGCTTCGCGCAGGAGGGGAGGGGGGGGGGGCTGAATTCAGACAAGGATAAAGAATCGAGAACAGTACAACGAATCGTCTTCTTTCTCTAATGATTTAATGAAACGTAAAGCTTCCGCGCTTCGCGCGGGAGGGGGGGGGGGGGACCTGAATTCAGGCGAGGATTAAGAGTCGAGAACGGTACAACGAATCGTCTTCTTTCTGTAATGATTTAATGAAAAACTTCCGCGCTTAGCGCGGGAGAGGGGGGGACCTGAATTCAGACGAGGATTAAGAGTCGAGAACTCTACAACGAATCGTATTCTTTCTCTCATAATCTTATGAAACTTAGAAGCTTCCGCGCTTCGCGCTGGAGGGGGGGGGGGGAACCTGAATTCAGACGAGGATTAAGAGTCGAGAACTCTACAACGAATCGTATTCGTTCTTTAATAGTTTAATGAAATGTCAAAGCTTCTGCGCTTCGCGCAGGAGGGGGAGGGGGGGGGGACTGAATTTAGACGAGGATTAAGAGTCGAGAACGGTACAACGAATCGTCTTCTTTCTCTAATGATTTAATGAAACGTCAAAGCTTCCGCGCTTCGCGCGGGAGGGGGAAACCTGAATTCAGACAAGGATTAAGAGTCGAGAACTCTACAACGAATCGTATTCTTTCTCTTATAATCTTATGAAACTTCAAAGCTTCCGCGCTTCGCGCGGGAGGGGGGGGGGGGGGACCTGAATTCAGACGAGGATTAAGAGTCGAGAACTCTACAACGAATTGTATTCTTTCTTTAATAGTTTTATGAAACGTCAAAGCTTCCGCGCTTCGCGCAGGAGGGGGAGGGGGGTACTGAATTTAGACGAGGATTAAGAGTTGAGAACGGTACAACGAATCGTCTTCTTTCTCTAATGAATTAATGAAACGTAAAAGGTTCCGCGCTTCGCGCGGGAGGGGGAAACCTGAATTCAGACAAGGATTAAGAGTCGAGAACTCTACAACGAATCGTCTTCTTTCTCTTATAATCTTATGAAACTTAAAAGCTTCCGCGCTTCGCGCGGGAGGGGGAAGGGGGCTGAATTTAGACAAGGATTAAGAGTCGAGAACTCTCTAATGAATCGTCTTCTTTCTCTAATAATTTAATAAAACGTAAAATTCGCGCGGAAGGGGAAAAACTAAATTCAGTGAGGATTAAGAGTCGAGAACGGTTCAAGGAATTGTCTTCTTTCTTTAATAGTTTAATGAAACGTCAAAGCTTCCGCGCTTCGCTCGGGAAAGGGGAACCTGAATTCAGACGAGGATTAAGAGTCGAGAACTCTACAACAAATCGTCTTCTTTCTCTAATAATTTAATAAAACGTAAAATTTTCCGCGCTTCGCGCGGGAGGGGTAAAAACTAAATTCAGACGAGGATTAAGAGTCGATAACGGTACAACGAATCGTCTTCTTTTTTTAATAGTTTAATGAAATAACAAAGCTTCCGCGCTTCGCGCAGGAGGGGGAAGGGGGCTGAATTTAGACAAGGATTAAGAGTCGAGAACTCTCTAATGAATCGTCTTCTTTCTCTAATAATTTAATAAAACGTAAAATTCGCGCGGAAGGGGAAAAACTAAATTCAGACGAGGATTAAGAGTCGAGAACGGTACAACGAATCGTCTTCTTTCTTTAATAGTTTAATGAAACGTCAAAGCTTCCGCGCTTCGCGCAGGAGGGGGAGGGGGGGGGACTGAATTTAGACAAGGATTAAGAGTCGAAACTCTACAACGAATCGTCTTCTTTCTCTAATAATTTAATAAATCGTAAAAATTTTCGCGCTTCGCGCGGGAGGGGCAAAACTAAATTCAGACGAAGATTTTGAGTCGAGAACGGTACAACGAATCGTCTTCTTTTTTTAATAATTTAATGAAACGTCAAAGCTTCCGCGTTTCGTGGAGGAGGGTGGGGAAAACTCGCCCCTCCCTGCACCGACCCCCCCTGCATTACGTCACTGTTGGTCACCATTACGTACCAATATTTGGCTCGCATAATTTCAAATTTGGGCCCCCCCCCTAAGAAATCCTGGATCCGCGCCTGAAAGCTTCTACCGATAGGCAAGCGAATTATTCTACTCCTGTGGACTTTCAGTCAAGCCAAGTGGTTATAATTATAAACAATTTCTTTCTGCTGCCTCGAAATCACCGGAGCAATGAGATGAGTGACAATTACATCGTGTCCCTAAGAGAACTGTGAAGAATTTTTTTTTAATCCAGTTGATAATTGTCCATTGAGTTTGAAAGGACCTTCTGGTCAAGAAAGGCTAAAGAATTCACCAGGATAAAAAGAATTTATCCTTCACTGAATAGGGACTCTGTCTATTGCCACCTATTCCCCTGGGGTCCGGAGAATCCCTGCATTATTTTTGATGCTCTTTCGGAAAATAAAGTTCAAATTTGGAAACTCTACAAATCGTTTTTTGATGACGTCACACTTGACCACTCTCATCCGGCCATCTCCTTCTTCATGCATAATCCAGGGTAGCCTACTACATCTAGGCAGGCTATAGGAGGTACGAACGTACGTCGTACGTACTTACTTTGAAGGTGTTCATCGCGCGCGCGCGCCATGCCATCGCCTGATACACTTGCCCTTCTTCGTTGGTTTCAGCCAGCAGCTAGTTATTGGAGGCAAATTCCTCCGTCATGGCATCAGAGTATCATCTTGAAATTATGTTCCGAGTTAATTGTATAAACATACGGTGTGAATGCTGACTTTTGCGAAGAAGTGATTGCATCGCATATTCTTTCTGTCGGCATCTTTGAGCTTGTTGAGGCTCAAGGCAGTGCAGTATGTCGGAGTCACAGGCAATCGGATCCCGGCTACGGAAGGCGATAGAATGGCTGAGGGACCGATGGGGATGGATCGTGACTGTTGCCTCGTTTGTTCTATACTTTATCACCATTGGTGTCCTTTATTGCTACGGCTTAATCTTCATTAGTTTGCAAGAGGAGTTCAAGAGCAGTGCCACAATCACAGGTTGGTTCTCTCATAGATCTAATCCAGTTTTCTAGAGATTGATAAGTAGATCTATAGAGTTAAGCAGGAGGGGGATGAATTCAGACAAGGATTAAGAGTCGAGAATGGTCCAACGAATCGTCTTCTTTCTCTGGGCAAACCCGGACTTTAGTGCCCAGCTGAAAATCTCAGTTTATTATGGATTTAATATCAATAATATTAATTATGCTAATATATGCAAATATAAACATACCAAAACTTGATGATTTTTAATCATTTGACGTCATAAAAAGCAATTTTAAGCCAAAAATAGCAGCGAAGTAGGGGATCTCCTCTTTGCTTGATGCGAGATACTAGCGAACTGAAATAACCGAATAAAAACTATGGTGAACTAAAAAAAGAAAAGAAAAAATCAAACCACCTCTGAAATTACCTTTGAAATGTTTATTAATTTTTTCTTCCGATATGCGCACATGATAGGGGCAGGTTGGGATGGGATGGGGGGGGGGGGGGTGCTCAATAGTCGCCAAATTTGGGGTAAAAGGGCAACTATTATTGATATTAAATCCATAATAAACTGAGATTTTCAGCTGGGCACTAAAGTCCGGGTTTGCCAATAATTTAATGAAACGTCAAAAGAAACTGAATTCAGACAAGGATTAAGAGTCGAGAATGGTACAACAAATCGTCTTCTTTCTCTAATAATTGAATGAAACGTCAAAAGAAACTGAATTCAGACAAGGATTGCTTAACTTACTTGCTTAAGTCGGGTCAACTGCCCGAGCTGTGATGGCCATCCACACATTCCTGTCCAGCATGGCTGCTTTTATCTCTGACAGTTCAAGTCCCGTATCCTTCTTGAGTAGGTCTGTATAAGTAAGATGAGGTCTTCCAGGTTTCCTCTTCCCGTGTTTAGGCTTCCAGAGTATAAGCTGAGATATTGGTTCATTGATGTTCCTACAGCTGTGTCCTGCAAAACGTAGTCTTCTTTTCCTGATCTTTTCTGATACTTTTGGTAGATTCTTCCCGTACAGCTCCTTATTGGTCATATGCTGGTTCCAGTGCACGTTGAATGCTGTCCTAAGAAGTCTGGTGTAGCAACCATCTAATTCTTTTGCCAGCTTTGTTGTAACTGCCCATGCTTCGCAGCCGTATAGAAGCACAGATTCAACTGTAGCAACAAACAAACGTTGTTTGAACTGCCTAGGAAGAGAAGATTTCCAGATTCTTCCAAGCTTGCTACACGCTCTCCATGCTGCTGACTTACGAGCTTCCACATATTTTTCTGTGCTCACCATCAATGCTCCCAGGTACTTGAAATCAGGTACATTCTCCAACTGGATTTCATCATTTGTTTTTATAGTGATGATCCCCCTGTGATTGAATGACATGAACTTGGTTTTGCCTGAATTCATCCGGAGCCCGACCTTGCCTACCGATGTCTCCACCCTGCTCAGCAGTTTTTGGGCTTGCTCTAATTCCTCAGATAGCAGGGCTATGTCATCAGCGAAATCTAGGTCTGTTATGATTTCCGGACCAACTCTCCTACTTCTCCTTCTTTCTAGTTGGAATCCAAGTTCTTCTTCATGGCCGTCTATAGCTGCTCGCAAGGCATAATCGAGGACTATTACAAATAGGTAAGGTGCAAGCGTGTCACCTTGAAGCACACCAGCCATGATTTCAAAGAGGTCAGTCTCTCCATCAGGTGATATTACTTTTGCTTTGGTGTCTTCGTACATCTTGCCAATAGCATTCACCAGTTGTTCCGGTATGCCATATGCAGTAAGGATCTTCAACATCTTGCCTCTGTGGATGGTATCGAAGGCTTTGCGAAAGTCAATAAATGTGATAATAGCCGGGAGCTGATTTTCTTTTACTCCTTCTATAAGCCTGCGAAGTGCCAAAATATGCCAAAATTAAGAGGATTAAGAGTCGAGAATGGTACAACGAATCATCTTCTTTCTCTAATAATTGAATGAAACGTCAAAAGAAACTGAATTCAGACAAGGATTAAGAGTCGAGAATGGTACAACGAATCGTCTTCTTTCTCTAATTATTTAATGAAACGTCAAAAGAAACTGAATTCAGACAAGGATTAAGAGTCAAGAATGGTACAACGAATTGTCTTCTTTCTCTAATAATTTAATGAAACGTCAAAAGAAACTGAATTCAGATAAGGATTAAGAGTCGAGAATGGTACAACTAATCGTCTTCTTTCTCTAATATAGTAATGATTTAATGAAACGTCAAAGCTTCCGCGCTTTGAATGTATTTACCAAAATGGCACTAGTCCACTGACTACCGGTAAGTACATATAACTTTTGAACCCTTAAGTCATAAATAATCTTCCCAAGGAGCCATCACTCCGTCATGGTATGATAGTTTATTAGTAATATTATTTCTCTTTCTGAAGGTTGGATTGGGTCTCTAGCCTGGGCCATCTCCACCCTGACCAGCCCTTTGACAGCTATCCTCTTGAGATACTGTCAGACCCGCAGCATCGCCCTCCTCGGTATCATCTTCTGTTCCTCCAGCCTCCTCATCTCATCCTATGTCACCAACGTCTTCTCACTCTTTGCTACGTTCAGTGTCATGTACGGCATGGGTATCAACTTTGCCCAGCACTCTACGCTTTGTCTCATCCTTACCTACTTCCCAAAACGAAACTCCACAAGAACCATCTCCTTTGCACTGACTGGATGCCAAGTCGGTGAGGCTACCACCCTTTTATTTGTTGAATCATGTAATGTCATCCTAAATTCTTGCATTATATAAAAGTCCAAACAAATATAGACTGGAAGATTGATGTAGCAGGTACAGATGAAAGATACAGACATCATTAAAGACCTGTTGATTGTTGACCACCCTTTTATTTGTTGAATCATGTAATGTCATCCTAAATTCTTGCATTATATAAAAGTCCAAACAAATATAGACTGGAAGATTGATGTAGCAGGTACAGATGAAAGAGATACAGACATCATTAAGGACCTGTTGATTGTTCATTTTTGTATGTGAAGTATTAATATTAGTTAATCAAAATCTGGACTTATGTTTTTTCATACGCAAGTAGTATGTAATGCAACATTTTCACTGAATGTCAACTTTGATTAGGTATAATATCAAGATGTTTTACATATTTACAATAAATATTAATTTCTTCATACCCATATTTTGATTTCCAATAGGACTGCTTGCACTCAATCCCTTGATGGCTTTTTTTGTTGCAACCAAAGGATGGCGTCTTGCTCTCCGCATCTTCAGTGGGATTGTGTTTCTCCCTGGTGTGATAAGCTGCATCATCCTGCTCCCGCCCAGGAAGAAAAGCAGCGACTCTGTGAGTCCTCAGACGGGAGAACGTCTTGCCCTCTATCACGTATGCGAGAGGGATCAGGGTAGTGGAGATCATAACAATGAAAAAAGCAGTGATATGAACGATGATCAGTCATTGTCAGGGGATGGTCAAGTTCAGATTGTACCGCCTAAGGATCAGGGGGACTCGTTATCTCAGGTCCAGGGTTCAAAGCCTGTGTGCCGATTTTGCGTGAAGAGCCGGGAAGAGGACGAGGATGGCGAGTTGAAAGGGGAAGAGATAGAAAGGACAGCTGTGGAGATGAAAATGTCGAAAAATCCAGTGACATATTTCTTCTCAGTTGCTTTGGCTACGCTTTCCCTAGCATGGACCTTCTTCAATGTTAATCTGGTAAGTTTTCTTGATTGAGAAATGATATTTCATTCAATGCATCCATGTACATATTCTGTATTTCTCGTAGCTGATAATGGTGATTCTAGTCATGCATTCGGTGCCAGGTAAAAATGTCAGAGGAAAAAATGTCAGAGGTAAAAATGTCAGAGGAAAAAATGTCAGAGGTAAAAATGTCAGAGGTAAAAATGTCAGAGGTAAAAATGTCAGAGGTAAAAATGTCAGAGGAAAAAATGTCAGAGGTAAAAATGTCAGAGGTAAAAATGTCAGAGGTAAAAATGTCAGAGGTAAAAATGTCAGAGGTAAAAATGTCAGAGGAAAAAATATCAGAGGTAAAAATGTCAGAGGTAAAAATGTCAGAGGTAAAAATGTCAGAGGTAAAAAATAAAAATGTCAGAGGTAAAAATGTCAGAGGTAAAATTGTCAGAGGAAAAAATGTCAGAGGTAAAAATGTCAGAGGTAAAAATGTCAGAGGTAAAAATGTCAGAGGTAAAAATGTCAGAGGTAAAATTGTCAGAGGAAAAAATGTCAGAGGTAAAAATGTCAGAGGTACAAGCAAAACAAATGAGTGCCGTCATAATATCTCAGCACTTTTATCACTCAGAATGTCGAGACGTACAGCTACTGCATGGGCTAGTCTATTATATTCCTTTCTAAATGGATGTGTTGTATATCGTACATGTCCTGAGGATAATATAATGTGGAAAATAGATTTTGAAATTTATTTTTTTGTGGAAGCAATCAGAGAAGGTTAATCATCTAGCATAAACATGTAAGTATTGGTGTGTAGTGCAAGGTTTTGGAGTCATCAAAATGATAAAAAATTTGGCCCAGTCTTGGTAAAGTAACAAGCACTGTACACAGAAAGATATTGATATGGGACTACACAAACATATGGCATACAAATCGGGCAGGCATACAAAGATGTTACTTGTTATATCTGGGATATGAAGTCATTTGAAATAGATTTTCAGGGAATAACTTTTTTCTTTGATGTTCTATCACACTTGCATTGAACGCTCACAAATAATTTGTTTTACCTTTCCCAGAACTCAACCTTCTCTTTAATTGATGTAACATGGGCGGCTTTCTGCTTTGTATCGGAGTAACAAAGCTGCTTATTGATTTTCTCCCAGACTATTTTATACCGCAATAGTAATCGACAATATTTTATTGCAACGCGCGCACTTCGGGAATGTGATGGTGCGGTTAGCATTGATAACATGGCTTTCTGCTTGTTTCAGAGTATCAAAATACCAAGCCCTCAAGAAAGTGGAATTGTCGGAAATATGCATTTATTGGAAATTACATATAAAAGTAGACATTGCCACGCAGTTAAAATGTCCAACAATCTTCAAATATGAAGGAGAAGTAGGAGGGGGAAGGTTCAGAGATATCTGATCCTATTTTGGGGGCTGTACTGACTTTTCTTTTTATTTAATGATTACACCATGGAGCGACAACTCAGCCTATAAAACATGGCCAAACTTCTCGATTTTAGAAATCTTTTTCCCCAGAAGTTTGCTCAGTGTACCAGTACCATTTGCTTATATAAAAACATAATATACCGGTATATAAATATTGAATAAGGCAGACTAATGGGACATGGATGGTGTACTCCGAGTTTCATGCCTTGCAAGCGGTCATCAGACAACTGATAGCATTCTTCAAAGTACATGATTCCTCTACAACCAGGGCTCAAATTAATTTTTTGTCCACAGGGGCTCTTCCCCCCCCCCCCAAAAAAAGAGCCCCTGTGAGCCTTCTCACGGGGACTCTTTTAGTACTGACGGGGGCTCTCTGTTATACAAATATCCATTGAATTGGTACCTATGATACTCCTCAATTATTTGCTATTTCATCATTATCATTTCAATCAGCATTTTCCCTCTTACAAATTTACAAGCTACATAGCTGTTACTGGCCTGTGTATATAATATATACGCATACAACACTGATCTTTATGATGTCTTTAACGTGACATATCTTCTTCTCCCCTTGCAAACGAGAAAGAAAACAAGGTCATTAAAAGGGATTAAGTGACAAATAATGATTGTGATTCAAATTGATGCGAATATTTGTTTGAATAGGCACTGCTACATGTATTCACCCGAATCTTCTTTGTAAAAACTACTTTTACAAATCTCAGCCATGCTTACTGAGTTGAGACGTTCCATTCAATTTAAAATACTCATTACAGAATACACTTCTCCTAATCTGAAAGTGATCTTACAACACAGTGGCAGATTTGCATGGCTGAGATTTGTAAAAGTCGTTTTTACAAAGAAGATTCTGGTGAAAAGCATTGTTTATTCAAAAAAATCCTTGCATCAATTTGAATCACAATGATTATTTGTCGCATGATCCTTTTATAAAATAACCTTGTTTTTTTTTTTTTTAATGATTACACCATGGAGCGACAGCTCAGCCTATAAAACATGGCCAAACTTCTCGATTTTAGAAATCTTAGAAGTTTGCTCAGTGTACCAGTACCATTTGCTTATACAAAAACATAATATACCGGTATATAAATATTGAATAAGGCAGACTAATGGGACATGGATGGTGTACTCCGAGTTTCACGCCTTGCAAGCGGTCATCAGACAACTGATAGCATTCTTCAAAGTACATGATTCCTCTACAAGTCTTATTTTGAGCGTATACCAACAACCTTGGTATACGCTCAAAATAAGACTTGACTAATACAATACAATAAGACAGCGGTGAAATAACGACTGCAGAATATCCCTCGCTGTTCTTTTTCGATAAGCCTGATATATAACCCGGGTGTAAACATAACAAACTTGTCACATGCTTTTGTTTTTATTTTATACCTCTAACATTTTTACCTCTGACATTTTAAACTCTGACATTTTTACCTCTGACATTTTTTCCACTGACATTTTTACCTCTGACATTTCAAACTCTGACATTTTTACCTCTGACATTTTTTCCTCTGACATTTTTACCTCTGACATTTTTACCTCTGACATTTTTACCTCTGACATTTTTACCTCTGACATTTTTTCCACTGACATTTTTACACCGAGCCATGCATTCAGTTGTGTTCTGTAGATGGCCTTTGTTTATATCTTGGCCTCGATCAGGTAGACTCTAGTTGTCTAGGAGTAAGGTACGGTGTATTGATCCTATCTAACGATGTCCATGCTATTTATTATCAACTGTCCTTTTTGCCCTTATGTTTTGTCAAATGGACATAGAAAGCAAGGTGTATAAACCAAAGAAGGAAGAATCCTCTTCGAAGTCTGAATTTATATAATGCATGATTGAGAAATATACAATGTAGACTGACTCTGAGAGATATTTGCCTGTTTAACTGTAAAAAAAAAAAAAACTTTAAAAGAGAGTGTGACATTAGTTAACCCTATTGTGTCATTGTGAAATGTAAACACATTACATTGTGAGACAGGGTCTGACCTCAAGTGCAGACTCTACCCAATAGACCATGTACTGCAGCTGCTTCTCTCCCCTTTTGACTGATCAAGACAAGACAAACATTAGAATCTGCACTTGCAGACAACTATTGCCTTTTATTTTAATCTGTTATGTAATACTTCCAGCTATAAACAAAACAGCTGAAGAACAGTTAAGACAACAAAGAGTAAGACAATGTCAAGCTTCTCTAGAGTCTAGACAAGTTCAGATACCCTTATCTACATACAATGTACATGTACACATCTGGCTCTTCTAGTACAACAATTTGTGTACACAATGATATCTACTACATGTTACTAGGTCGGCAATTTAAGGTATTTGTATTTTACTGATTACAACCAGTGATCTTACTCTCAATACCATATATATATTTATTTTTTTCTTCTTTTAAATATATATTAAATGTTAACTGTGCCATAATTTCCTATTATTTCATGAGGAAATAGACATTAAATGTAATGTTTCTGCAGATATAATCAAATTGTTGACACTACTGTTGTTTTTGTTTAAATAGTATCAATGTGTATATTGCTGTTGTATAATGAGTATAATTGTCAAGGGTTTTACTGATAAGCATGTGTGCAATGCATATTCTGATGTACGTTTATCTGGTGCTTTTTATTTATGTTCCAAATGACACAAAGAAACAATTTTTTTTTTCTTTCTACAAATGCCTTTTTTTCTTCAAATAAAAGATTTTTTTTCTTTCTTTCTACAAATGCCCTTTTTTCTTCAAATAAAAGAAATTAAACTCAAATAGATATAAAAAGTACATGTACATGTATGATGTTCTGAAGCCAATGTAATTGTTTTGAAAATGAAGGTGGTTGTTATTATTTATATTGAACTGTTTATAAAAAATTGACTTGCCGGTTAGTTAGGATTGATGAATTCAGACAGATAAATTCTAAGTTAAACATGGGTGTATCTATCAATATATAAGCTTAGCAAGACATACATGTAATTTGTGTCTTTCTTGTTTGTTCATGAATTTGAATTTTAGTAGTAAAAAAAAAAAACTTAATTCATATACTGTACATACAGGGGTTGTATATACATGAAAACTTTGTTTCACAATACATAAATAAAACAGTTATATAAACAAGAAAATCAACAAGTGGTATAGTTTTGCAAGTAATCACAAATTAACAATAAAAAATGTAGATTGTATGTACAGTGGTAAATGTTATTATTACAAAATAATTACAGTCAAAACTGCTTTACTGACCACCTGTCTATAAAGACCACCTGTCTACAACGACCACATTTTTCCCCCTTGAAAACATTTTCATATTGATACATGTACTAATGGCACCTGTCTAAATAAAGACCACCTGCCTATAAAGACCACTTTTCTTGTCTACCTTGGGTGGTCTTTATAGACAGGTTTCAGTATATGACATGAAGAACATCATCTTTTTTTCTTGCCTTGTATTGTAGGTGAGTTACACAGACAGCGTTGGCATCCCCGCAAACCATGGCTCGATCCTACTCACAATCTTAGCTGGAGCTGAGATGGTCGGCAAAGCTCTCCTCTGTATCTTTGGTGATCATGTCCCCATCGCTAAGGTCTACATCATCATCATGTGTAACGTCCTCTCGGCTGTCATCTCCTGTGGTATGATCTTCTGTAAGGACTTCACCAGCATGATCTCAATAGCTATCGGTAAGTGCTCAGGGATCCTCCTCACAAAAATTCAATTTTAAAAGGGTTTTAAAGGTAAAGACCAGTTTTGGAAACGCCCCCCTCTCAAAAATGAAATGGAAGCTCTTATTATCAATCATGTGAAAGAATATGTTTTGACTAATACGTGATGATACAAATTTTGCCGGGAAATCGCGTACTAATTGATAATTGATATCGCGCACGTGTCGCGGAGTCCCATATTCATCTTTCTGTGTACAGTGCTTGTAACTTTACCAAGACTGGGCCAACTTTCTTATCATTTTGATGATTCCTGAACCTTGCAGTACACACCAATACTTATATACTAGATGATCAACCTTTTCTAATCAATTCCACAACGTTTCTTTCACAATGCAATCGCATGACCAGAACTGGCCTTTACCTTTAAAAGGGTTTTAAGTTCTGGCAATCACAGAAAATTTAATTGAACAGATTAAATCCAAGATTTTGCTGTGTATTTTCGAGACTCTGATTGAATGATATCTGCCAAGCAAACTTGGTAGATAACTCATGTTGCCTGCAGCAGTGAGCAAATACATGAGAAAATCAGGCTTGTGTCCCTGATAGCACATGTTGACCTTTACAGGTTTCAGTGAATAAGATTTCCACCAACTTTTTGATAGGTTTAAACAATTCAAAATTGTTTAGCCAATTTTTTCTGAAATGTACATCAGTTCAGTTCAGTTACAGTTTATTTTATTTTTGCATGGCACCCACTTCAGCCAAAGGCTGTTCTTCTGCAAGTCTGTGCACAATAAAAAAATACATGTACAATTTTAAGATAATGATCAATGACATCATAACATATATACGTATTAAAAACAACCAAACAAGTATGAAAAAGAAAAATGAATGAAAAATTATTTTTTCCAAACAGCCTTTAATTTAACTTTTATAGTTTTATATATTTAAGCGTACATAAATACTGTCTGTTATTTTAAATATTATAAAGCTTTAACAGTAAAATTGCATTTTATAAAATTAATATTTATATTACCCTTGATTTAAATACAGAGAAAGACATATTTTTTCACGTTCATACATGCAGGTAGCTGATTCCAAGATTTAATGCCTCAATAACATAAGCTCCTTTTCTTGCAATTCACATGTGATTTTGGCAGTTCTAAGGTTTTATGAGCATTTCTCAAGCTATAATAATATTACTTGATAACAAAGTACTTTATAAACCCACCAAATATCATTTCATGAACAATTTTATACAAAATATATAAAACATGTTTATCTCTCCGTTCTAATAGATTTTCTGTTTTCAAACAAAGAAATAAACCTCGGCTAGGGAACCTCCATTCAACTTGGAGTACCACCCGAATTGACCTATTCTGTACTTTTTGCAAACTTTCTAAACTTCCTTTCCTGGCATTCCCCCAAATTGCACTGCAGTAATCCAACTTACATTGAATTACTGATTAATAAAGTATAAGTGCAGTTTGCTATGTTCATTAACAAATGTTCTAAGTCTTTTTAACAAATATATATCTTGTAATACCTTCTTACTTTAAAAGTTCAATACATGTATGTTTACCCCAATCCAGATGTTTATCAATAACTACCGGTATTCAAAGATACAGCTACTAAACCAGTGTAATGACAATTCACTCAAGCCAATAAATCTTTTATTCAAAAGAATTGAGTGGTCCACTCTATCTTAGGCCTTTTTTAAGTCAAGGGTCACCACTCTGGTCAAGCCAGTCTTCCATGACGTTCAATAGAGATGTCATTGTAGAGTGTTTCGGTCAAAAACCTGATTGTTTGCAACTTATAATTCCTTTCTGATCCATATAACCGTAAAGTTGATCAAATACCAATTTTTCAACAATTTTAGATATCGCGGGAAGAATTGGTATTATTCTATAATTGTTCATATCAGACTCTTTTCCTGATTTAAAAACTGGAATTTCACAAGACATTTTCCACTGCAGAGAAACAACAACATGTGTAGTACCATAACTGGGACTCTGGTTTAGCTTTAACTTTAGGTTTTTAGGGAGATACAGGCCCTTATAAAGAATGGTAGTCATTCTTAATTGACCACAAGTCTTCTAATCAATCCCAAAATCACGCTAATATGCCATTTATGTAAAGAGTTGTGAATGATATCAAACTCGGGTTGAGCTGTGATTTGTAATTGCAACTCTTTAAAAGATTGGGCCTTAGAACTACATGTACAGTATGTAAGTTCATATCAACATCTACGTTTAACTTGGTTTCAATCTTTATCGCATCTTTCATTATAGGCATAACTAATGAAGTCTTTCTTTTTCTGAACAAATCTAGAAGGTTTTGGATTAAATATCAAGGAGGGAGAGCATTCCTTGTTTTGAATGCTTCTATAATAAAGCCATTGAAGAACAATAAATTAAGTGAAATAATAAGATGCTGTTGTGGCCAGTTTCAATAAGATTCATTCAAAATTACCATTATGCCATCTTTTGCACAAGATCCAGAGTGTAGACTATATTACTATAAAGTACATGTAGTTTACAAATATAAATTGAACTCCACAAAGTATCATGCATAGAGCCTGTATGTTTAATCATCTGCGTTTAACTGAGTAAAACGATGAGACAAAATCTAGAAATGGATTGTGTTCAGACAATCTATTTGGCAAATCCATTGATTGATTGATTGATTGATTTATTTATATATTGATTGATTGATTGATTTGTCACTGATTTTTGTGCTTTTTCTTTGACAAAAGGCTTTGTGAAACGGGTCCCATACTTGCATTCAGAAAATGTTTGGCGATTCGCCTCATTACTTTTTACCTACATGTACTTACTGGCATACTGCCCTTTGTTATGAGAAGTGACTCCCATTATTGTAGTAGCAGGAAGAAACAGAGGAAGAATTTTCTTTGGATAAGATCCTTTACACATTGTAGATTATTTTTCCAGTGCAAATAACTGTCTGTAAAGCTTAATCTTTCCTGGAATGCATTCATTAAATCTATTTACCAAGATCCTTTGCATATAAATATTCAAGGCCAAATAACAACAATAACTTTTAGAGTTTCTCATCCCTGCCTGCCTCCTTTTTGGCCACTGCCTCCTTTTTTTTACTTTTTAGAAAAAAAGAGAAAATTATTAAAAAAAGGCTGTGATGTACATTTTCGATACATGTATGATCATGTATTTTGTCTCCATTGGCTGAGTGTTAGTCTGTTGCTTTTTCAGTTATATTCAGAGCCATGAAATTTGTTGAGACTCTAGTGCAGAACGTTGGAGGTCATGTATCTTCAATACCAATACAAATGGAGCAGATCTATTTGAAAGAACAATACACTTAAAACTGTTTACTGGCTACCAGCTACATGTACTGTATATAGTTATGAGTATGCCTGTCATGTCAAGGATGATGTATTGATCTATGCTATTGTAACCTGGTATCGTTCTTATCATGTCCGTGTACATGATGATAATATTTCATATACTATATGTATTAACGTTCATAGTGCATTGTCTGAATTTATAAGTGAATGTATTTGACGATGCTATCATTACCTCTAATTACTGGCTTTTTAGCCTGCACACATAAATTTTCAAGAAGGGCATTGCGTGGCACGAGGCATATGGTATGGTAAATTTTACGGATATTCTTTAAAGGTAATACAAAGTTCTGGGAAGATTTGAAAATTGGGTGAATAGTGATTCTTTACAATTTTGATAAATTTGGATGCCCCTGTAGCTGTTTTATAAGCCGACTAGAAAATTTAGCCCCTAAAACACTTCTGCTTTCTAGAGAAATTGAAGATAAAAATTTACCGGTGCTCCCGGTAAATTTTGATAAATTTTAAACAGCGCTTACGGCCGTACAGTGGTAGCTGCGACCTTGAAAATCTCAGAATATGTAGTTGTGATATATAATTTCCGAACGGGAATAGCTAATTGGTCGATTTCAGTCAAGAAACATTGTTTTATAATTTATAGCTTAATTAATATCTTGACCTTGAGAGGGAGCTATGCAACATCAAGAGTTTATTATTTACAATTTCATAACCTTAGACTCGATTTCAACCGCGACAACGATCACTGAATATTGTAGAATCGAATACGCTTCAAATATGTTCATTTGAACCAAATTCATGACCCCATACCAAAACTTTGAATTACCTTTAATCTCTTGAATGTATCTGTTTCACTAGGTATTGGGCTGATGAGAGCAATCTTTAATACAGTACCTCTTGGAGCTGGTATCGAGATCTTTGGGACGTCCCGTACAACGGAGGCATCTACTTTGGCCATGTTCAGCTATGGGGCAGGCTACCTTGTAGGATCGGTCATCCCAGGTAACAAACAATCCAGTCATTCCAACAGCAACATGAAAACAAATTTATTCATGATTTTATTCATAGCAAGAATAAAGTTGTGTATATCGCTTATTTTTAGCGCAGTGTCATTCATAGTTAGTGTTCTAGTGGCTCGTAAAATTTTTACTGGAAAATTCCATCTATGCATCTCAAAATGTGCATTTAAAACTGAAACTTATGGGAACTTAACCTTTAAAAGTTGTGCTTTATGTTTGAGTGTACGCTTCTAGGAGTTCTAGCTGTTGCAACAATTGCTCCGCATCTGAATAAAGGCTTGTTTTCGCATATGCTGCAGTTAATAACAACATTTTTTCTATCTTTGTGTGTGGGTGTGGGTATGCGTGTGTGTATGTGTACAGTTTGTGGATGTGGGTTCAAGAACAATCTATGATTATTTCATCAAAGCACTGCAACGAACGTATGATTTGCAGGTAAGGGATGGGCAAAATGATTATGATTTTATAGATAAAGAATTAAAAGAAATATTTGTTAGACCAAGAATTACTATACTCATTAGAAAACAACGTGAATTTCAATTTAAATTATTGCATGGAGCCATATACACTAATGAGCATCTTCATAGATTTGGTTTGGTTGGTGATAATTTATGTTCGTTTTGTAAGCAGGAAATAGAAACATACAAACATTTATTTTTATCTTGTGGGAGCGTTCAAAGGTTATGGCAGGCTTTAATACAACTTTTTGAGTTAGATGAAATTAAAGATTTAGAATGGCGAGATATATTTGTTGGGTTGGTAGGTAGTTCATATAGAATAAAAATGTGTAATACTATCATTTTCATGGTGAAGTATGTTACATTTATGTCAAGATCGGGGGGGGGGGGGCGAGTACTAACTTTAGAAAAAGATGAAAAAAAGCATTTTTAAGTATAGGGATGAGGAAAAGAAAATAGCAATTAAAATGGGAAAGCTAGGATCACATTTCTTAAAGTGGGAGCAGCTTAAGATTAATTAAGATTTGCTTTCTTCTCCACCGTGAGCTTGTTAAAAGCGTAACTCGATTTTGCGGCCTGGATAACTTATTTAGTATATTTTTCTTAAGTTGAGAATGTTGGCAGACATCCACTGAGTGAGTACTGTGTGTGTGTGTGTGGGGGGGGGGGGTGGGTGGGTGGGTGGGTGAGTATGTGGGTGAGTGGGTGAGTATGTTTGTGTGATAGAGGGTGAGTATGTCTGTGTGATGGAGGGGGCAGGGAGGGGGCAGGATTGTTTCAGTAAAATTATCTCCAGATTTGTTTTTTTTTTGTAATATATAAGTAAATAACATTTACAATTGACATATTATGTTTAGGTACTTATACGTTTACTTTGTTGCTAAGTTATACTTCAAATAAGTTTGTGTTTAATTATGTTTATGTAAAAGCATCAATATTGAACACATTTATTTTATTCAATTGTATGTCATGGTTTGTATTACACATCTGGAGAAATAAAACAAAATTGTTAAAAAAAATAAAAAAAAAAACTAAATGAATGGTAAGTGGGGATGACTCATGTGAACAGGATATATGTAACATGTGCATTCTGCTATTTTAAATTGTAAATTTGATGGATTAAAAGAAGAATTTTTTTTTAGCAGATGTTTCTGCATTTATTGATAAATCAAATACAAAAAATTCAAATATTAATAATAGCATATAATATAATTGATTTACATAAAGAGTGACAACTTAAATACTCACACATAAAAATGCATAATTGAAGCTTGAAAGTATGGAGGTAGGTAAGTAAAAAATAATCAAGATAAATGCAGAGACCAACTATCATAAGCAAGAATGCTTGAGTCGATAGCAGCCGGGATTTGATAGTCTCTACTCTGCCCTTGTCCTCAATCCAGGTGGTATCTATGATCTGACCGGTTCCTACACACTCTCCCTTGTATGCATGGCAACCGTCTTCATCCTGTCTGCCGTCATGTTCCTCGTCATCCCATGGCGCAAACGAATTCACGCCTACCTCATCAAGACGTGTTTCGTCCTCCAAGGCTCTGAGAAGAAGGTGAAACAGGGTGTCTACGAGAAGTGCAGTGAGGGTTGTCGGTACTCTGGCTCTGTCGCAAACATCAATATAGATTACTTGTAGATCATACAGGCACTCTACGCTAACAGATCCATTGGTACGTCATCAAGACATCCCTTGAATGCTAGGTTTACATTATGCTCCCAGCGGCCACGGCAATCACGTAAAGCAGGCATCAATAAAAATTATTTGTAGATCACACAATCACCCAGCATAAGACACCATGTACCAATATATTCAAGTTTATGATGCGAAATCAAATCGTCGTCCGAGTTTGGGTCAGGAATAGAAACAAGCTCCAAGGAAACAAATTTACTGTAAAAAAAAAAGTGAAATTATTGCCAAATGTTGCATTGGTCGCATATGGTTATACTATTATTTAATTATTTGTCTGCTTGAAGAAAATCAAATTAAACCATCAAGGAAAATATTACATGTGGTGAGAATTTTCTTCAAAGTGACATTTGCTAGTTGATTGTACCACAGGTAGTCGCTATAAAAAAAAAACACAGAAGAAACGTGTTTCATAAATTTACCTTTTATAGCCCGAAACAAGCACACACACAATCAAAGGTGATCTCTTTTTTTTCCCAATAACAATTGCTACCATTTTTTCTTGAAATTGCCCATTCTATTCAGATCTTTCATATCTATTTATGTTACTTTGAACTATTTTTCACATTTCGGTGAAAAGAATCTTAGTAGTAACTTATTACCTATAAATATAGCTGAATATTATTGCTTTTATCTGTTCACGATAATTGTGTCCCAGAAGTGCCTATTTCATGGGCTTCCTTATTTTTGTTGTTGTTTATACTCCAACAAAGTTTGATCAGATAGAGTAGTCTCATTATAAGAAACATCTGAAATCAATATTTAATCAGTGACCTGTTCTGTTCAAGGTTGATCAGATTAATATGTTGATGATTGAAAATCTAGTTGCATCTTTTTATACAAGCATATTTTTATGATTAAAGTATACATTTATATATGATGTCTTTCTATTGAAAGGCAAATTATAACATTTGCAAGATGAAAAATATTTAACAAAATATTTGCTTTCTTACTACATTATTTCCTTGAAACTTTGTAAACTACTTCTACATGATAACATTGGCTCTGATGTAATCAACAATGAAATCATCGCAGGATTTCCTACAAAAATGGAAACATTATAGAAATCATCTCCCGTGAGACAAAAGGAAAGTACAACCCTTCTCCTGGCTCTCTTATGGATAAGATGGATAAGATGTCATCTGCAGATAAAGCAGAAATAGACAGGAATGAAAGATTGTGTTACAAAAGCAACATTGACACTGCAAGCAAAACAATTATCCATTTTTTCTCACATTCCGGCACTCTGCCAAAAGAGGTCTTACTTCAATGACTTACAAGGTATTTGTAAAGGGATATTTATAGGCTGACTCAGTTTCTGCATTCCAGAAAAATAAAACAAATAACAGGGTTTTTTTGTGAATTTTCCATACATTTTCCCCTTTAGCCATGCATGCATTTTGATTATTGAATTCCAGACATAAATCAGGCCGACTGTGAAAAATGATACATTTTGTATACTTTCTTTGATATGTTAATTATTGATGTCACATTATTTTTAGTTAAGTGTGATTTTCTGATTTAATCAGAGCATTCTGAAAAAGACTTCTATTTTGTATACTTTCTTTGATATGTTAATTATTAATGTCACATTATTTTTAGTGTGATTTTCTGATTTAATCAGAGTATTCTGAAATAGACTCTTCTATGATCAAAACAAGTCAAGTTACTCCTCTCTCGATGAAATAATGGTATTTGACTATAAAGTCCTGTCACTCTTCTTTCTTTCTTTGTTATCATTTCATTTACAAAATCATCAATTATCATATTCATAAAAATGATCAAACTTGTAGAGATATTTTTGATAGATATTCCTGTAATATTTTTAATGTCTATTATAGCCAGTAAAGTGTAGCTGTTTGCATGGCATGCAAGTGTTTATAGTCTCAATACTTATGGCTGCATGTTAATAGTTTTTTCACACATTTCACGTAATATTTGAAGTTTCTCTATTTATTCCGACTCCGAGCAAGGCTCAGGGTCATGATGTATCTTCAAGCTGCTATGAGATAGCTGTGTATGAATTAGTGTATAATGCCTTTCTTGTGCAAGATTATATCTATGGTACTTAAAATACAGGTAGTATTTCCCCTCTTTTTCTAAGAATTGCCATTTATCAACTGAAATATGTTGCCTTTTATAACACTTGCTCTACCTTGCAAACAATTAGTATGTACATTTTTTAGAGTGAAAGGTTGAATATTTTTGTTTACAAATTTCTTGAGGTCACAAATTCTTGTTACGGATAAGTTCTTGCTTTCTGAATTGTTTACTCTTATTTATCAGCAATGTATTATCCATAGTTGATTTTCTTTCAGTAGTCATTATGAATATATTAAAGCAGAGATTCAAGATTTAGAAAAAGCATATATTTTGAATTCAATAATAATTAAAAAAGAACACATTATTAGCCATTATAGAGCAGTACTCCACTGGTGTTTTGGTATTATACAATTAATTTTTAGAATTTTGTTTACCTGGAGCACCTTATTTTGGTTTTGAATTTGTGGGTAGATTGTAGGTTTATTTAATAATTAATGATGATATAACTTATTGGGGATAAAAATGTAGTTTTATTGAGAATCTAATTGGTTTAGATTTATATCCAGGTTATTAACAAGGATATTTGTGAATTTCAATGTGTAAAAGCACTTTTTTTTAGAATTTTTTTTAAAAATATTTCCCAATTATAAGGTCTGACATAAAAAAGTCACTACCTCATTCATAAGAATTTGCTTGAAAGAGATCTGCTATTATCCAACATGTAGTATATTATGTACTGGTTGTTTAGTAAGAGTTCATAATAAATCGTCTTATTTTCTTGAACATCACTGTGTGCAACTGTCGTATTCATGTTTGGACTTCATTTAATTCATAAGCTATAATGTGCTTCTATTTCCAAATTATTTGTATCAATATTGAAAGACCTTGCCTTACAACTCATATAAATCACAAAGATAGCATTAAGAAATATATCCACATTCATTCTCTTTTCAAGATTCCTTTATTTACAAAACCTAATACATGTACATACAAATATTGTGAACACATTACAAATATTCACATCATATGCTGGTTTCCAAAAGCATGTGTACATTACAAGAAAATATTTCCTTGTGCTTAACATTGACAACATGATACAGTTCCTATGCATCAAAATTCATAAAGACTTCAAGTGGCACGGAAGTTTGTGTCTTCAGGCGGTGAAACTAGATCTACCGGTAATCCACATTATATGCAAATTTCTAAGTCAAGAACTGAACTCTGAACATGCTGACTACAGAGCTCTGTCCCAGTATTGGTTTCCCCTGAAACTACAGATGTGTTTTTCTTTTTTTTAATGACGGCAGTGAATGTGCCTCTTATGAATCTGGGGGGTGTTTCACAAAGATTCTAAGTTGAACTTAACTCTAAGTTAGATTTAAAAATTATGGAGAGCCATTTGTAGCATTAAAAAAATATATATTCAAAAGCGAAAATTCAAGTATTTTAGACTTTTATTAATTCTACATCAAGAACATGAAATCTCTTCTATAAGAGAAAATATGAATGATTTGAATCAACATTTTCATGCCTTTTAAAATAACTTTTACAAAATATTTTCATAGATGCTAATGGCTTTCCATAATTGTTAAGTCCAACTTAGAGATAAGTCCTACTTAGGATCTTTGTGAAGTACCCCTCAGGTATCTTAAAGGAGAAGTCTGATCAGGCATCAAGTTGGCTGACAAAAACGTACTGGTGAAACCTTGAGGAAGCTCTGTTACATGACAGAAAATTTATGAAGTTTTGAATTTGTTACCAATCGAGCATAAAATAAAACTCTGCTCTGTTTCATAAAACTTGATATAAAAACAAGTTTCAATAACTGTTAAAAGCTACTGATATTGCGCCAGATAATTGGCTGAAAGCAAATATGACATAAAATTTTAGCATTCGTTATTGATAACAAGTTTTATGACACAGGGCCCTGGCATTTCCCTGGATAAATCTCCATTTCCTCCTAAGGAAAGATTCCATCATATTTGTGGCCTAGATACCCACTGTGAAATGGATCAATATTCCATTCCTCATGATTAATAACAGGCCTACTTTGATAAATCTCATACTTCTCTTTTATTCTCCAGGTCTTTTGGTTGGAAAAATAAAAGTTTTATGGTTATTGACCTGACCCAATCCTGATCTTTATATCCTGGGGAAAGGTCCGAGTACTGAATTACTCTTTGAAAAAACAGGTAGAGGATTTCCTGGATGGCTTTATGACTGCCTGTCTGTTAGGAGGATTTTGTTTAATGACAATCCTAGTATCAAACAATGCATTTTAAATATATTGGGTTGGAAAGAAAAGCCCAAGTGGTGGTACAGGTATTACAAAATGACCGGTACCGGTACCGGTATTAGGAGATATATTGGTGATAGATTTTTATAGTGCCTATCACTGCTTGGACACCTTGGTGCACTGAGGAAGTTGAAGAGGAAGAAAAGATATGGAGCATAGTTCATACCTCAGACAACCATACGACTACCAATTACTTCTCAGGTGATTTTATATGCTGGTTGTGACTGTGACATCTCAAAGCACTCAGGAAATTGAAGAGGAAGAAAAAATGTGAAGCATAGTTCATACTCCCAAGAACCACAGATCATTCAAAATATTTCTTAAACTAGAATGTTCGACAAGGGGGCGGGCTAACTCGTCACCCGGGCCGCCAAATCAATGTGCGATGATAGGATTTCAGGGGGTGAAGAGCAAGCTACAACCTGGGGGGTGTTTCATGAAGATCCTAAGATGAACCTATCTCTAAGTTAGACTTAACAATTATGGAAAGCCATTAGCATCTATGAAAATATTTTGTAAAAGTTATTTCAAAAGGCATAAGATGTTGATTCAAATCATTCATTTTCTATCATCAAGGAGATTTCATGATCTTGAAGTGGATTTTATAAAAAGTCTAAAATATTTGATTTTTCGCTTTTGAATATATTTTATTTTAAGGCTACATACGGCTCTCCATAATTTTTAAATCCAACTTAGAGTTTAGTTCGACTTAGGATCCTTGTAAAACAGGGCCCTGGACCATCAAAGAAGCCATAATCTAATGATTTGTAGAATTTCACCTCTTGAAATCGTCAACATTACCTATTTATAATCAATTTTAAACATCACAAACAAATAATCTGGAATGTGGATGTTCAAAAAGAAACACTTAATGGAAAACTTGCTGCAAGTATTTGCGATCGATTCAGCTCTCTTGGATAACTAAGCCAAGGTTTCCACTGAGTCAAAGTTAGCCCAAATGCTAAGTAATCCTGGATCCATTTCATAGAAGGGTTTTCAACATACACTGAACCATTTAGAATGGTTTACTTTCCTTCAAGTAAAAACAATTTCCTTTGCTTGGGTATGGTTCTAACACAGTTTCCTGTTGACATGCTTTGTAGGGCATTACTTCCAAACCTTCCAACCGGCAGTGATCGCAGATACCGTTTGGCCATAGACGTAGAAAATGTTTCTGTGTCTTGCATGCTACTGAGTCAGAATGTCCATAGATACTGTTTGGCTGTGTCTTTATGACTTTAATATATCTGTCTCTCATTTGTCAGGAAACCTTATAGATACTGTTTGGCCATCGACTGTAGGAAAAGCTTTTGCCGTTTTCTTGCTGCTGCAGCTAAGACCGTCTCAGAGTTACACGTGTTTAGCTCAGCCTGACTCAGAACCTCCAGCTGCAATGGAATAGTACATGGAATAAATGATTTTTAAAAATAATAATAACAATTTCAAAAGTGCTCTTCGCTACTCCTTTCTTACTGCTTTTCTTTAAGTTTGCTATCACAAGTTCTACATATCTATCTCTTCATCTACAACAGCTTTCTCTCATGCCTTACAATTATCTTACAGTAAAATATGAGCTGCTTTAAAGCCCGTCTGTACTAGTTTGGCCAGGGGGATTAGACCTCCCTTCAAGGTCACTGACGGGTGATTATATTATCATATCAACTCTCAATTAACATGAGAAAAAGGGGATCATGGGGGACCAACAGGCACCGATTAGGCATTGTTTGCTATATAGAGGGCGCAAGTAGCTATAAGTAGTGCAGTGGGGCTTAAATAATATTATCACAAACCAAATAAGTTCATAAGTCATAATCACTGGATGACTACGTTTTGTCAAACTCTTGGACTTGTTGAAATATTGGCATTTAGTGAGAGAACAAGTGAGAAAACCTTGAGAGAATGAGAATAACTTACTGCAACTTGTTTCTTGTCTATTTCACTCCTCTTGTGGTGTGTGACTGTAGGGAGCAGAGTTAAAGATGTAACATGAAGTACACTAAAGGTAGTTCTTCCATAATTGTTAGCTATATCTCAGTTTTTCTCAGTATATCAATAGAGGGATTGGGTATCTTTGCCTCAGATTCTAAACAAAATCCTGGATTTAGCTCATGCTGCAATCATAATGACAAACCTTTAGGTCAGTCAGGAATCCCATGACTTTTACAAGCCGATCGCCTGTCTGATTATCAAGATATTTATGATTGGAATTACAAATGTCAAAAACCGTATTTCCAATGGTTTTTAACACTACAGTATGTTGGGGAAAATGAGTTTGGTAAAACCGGTCACTCAAAGATTTTTACTTTTTGAGGCACTTCATGATCACTTTGAAGCACAAATTTTTTATTTTAGGGCTTCAATATTACACCATATCACAGACATTGATAACACTTTGGGTCATGCATCTCAGATTTGTACAATTGGAAACAGTGTTAAACAATGCCTTTAACACACAAATAAAGAATGATATAATGATACTATACTATTTATATAAATATTATTATAAAAACGAAATAAATTGGTTAATGTAGGATTGAATGGAACACCTGGCCTTGATACGTGTCCTTTTGTTCTATATAAACCGTTTAAATGTCTGTTTTTTTTCAATGTGAAAGGATACACACAAGGAACTCAAGTATGGCTAGATCCCAGAAGCATCCATACATACTGTCACTCCCATCATAGCTGTAGAAGAAGAAAAAAAATTGAAAAAGAGAGAGAAAACATTTATTTATTTATTATATATTATAATCATTATCATACATCATCATATAGATCACAATTTTTATAAAGGAAGCCAAGCTTACAAAATTACAAACATAAAGTTATCTTGTTTTTAAAAGAGTATGTCACGGGCATGAAGGGGTACGGATTACAAATGTTGATATATCTTAAAGGGATCGGGTATCTTTGCCTCAGATTCTAAACAGAATCCTGGATTTAGCTCATGCTGCAATCATAATTATAAATTTGTAGGTCAGTCAGGAATCCCATGTCTTTTACAAGCCGATTGCATGTCTGATTATCAAGATATTTATGATTGGAATTAAAAATGTCAAAAGAAGTTTGCCAAACAGTTTCGAACAACACTACAGTTTATTGGGGGGGAAATGAGTACCGTTGAAGGAGGCAGATTATTTTGAAGAAGAAGAAGAGGAAGAAGAAACTGGTCACCTTAAGATTTTTACTTTTTTGTAGCACTTCATGATCATTTTGAAGTGCAGTTTTTTTAGGGCTTCAATATTAAACGCATCTCAGATTTGTAAAACTGGAAACATTGTTAAACAATGCCTTTCAGTATCACACAATGATAAGAGAACTTAATTACCATCTTTTCTCCTGCAGAGCTTGGTATGCAGTCGCATAGTCCACCGGTTGAAGGAACTGACACAAGATGGCCGCCTGGGTGTGGCACTGAAGACCTGAACAGGCCTTGATGCAGCGCTTGTGGACCTGGTCTGTCCATACAGTCTTGGGTATGGGGACCTCAAAGAACTGTGTGGAGACCATAGCAGCCTGGAGGTAGAACTTTAGTGCTGATCCAAATTGCTTTTTAGCTGTACAGACATGCAAAAAAAACAGGTTTCCCCTTCATTTGCTTTCATAGTCAATAACATATCAATATGAACAAATCATTACTTTAAAGATTACATATACCTTGTACATTCCCCCCCCCCCCAAAAAAAAAAAAAAAATAAATAAATAAATAAATAAATAATAATGATAATAATAATAATAATAATAAATAATAATAATTTTAACAAACAAAGAACAAAAAAATGAACATGAACATTCTTTAATATGCAAGAGCCAAAATATGATAGATAAACCATAGACAAAGATACAATACATAACAAATAAATTAATAAATAAATATATAAATAAACAACAAATTAACAAAAATTGATCATTCTTTTAAATGTAAGAGTCCAAATATACTAGACATTCAATACTCTGCACGTGCCACATCTTTGCTAGATTAAAATGAATACCTGATGAAAATCTTGAACAACCATTCTGTGGGCTTACCATAGCAAGCATCAGCCTGTGTACAAAGCCATGCTGGTTTCATAGGGTCCACGGAAATAGCATGACCTATGACCTCATGCAGTGTGGTACCCACAGCATCAATGTCCACCGAGCCCGGACTGGAAAGAAAGAAGAAAAGGCAAGATGAAAATTATGGAACGTTAATGACATCAGGCTGATATTCATTCCTGTGTTATATGTCTTCCTAAATGAATTAATAACGGGATTTCTTCTAAAAGATACAAAGTATGCTACTGTTCAATAGGAGGAGGAAACTGGTAACGCTCAGCCAACCAGTCACCAGAGATCATAAAGAACAACATATTAATATTAATTGGTGTCCATATCTGCACATTGCCACTGTCTACTGACCAGTGTGGGTGCACTACAATTTGCAATCACCACTTTAGCAATCTATACATATTGCTTACCAAACCATCTCATGATCATACCCAATTTTGTAAAAGTTTCATATTCTAGCCCGAGATATCATCTTCAAGTTGATACAAAATGAAGGGGTGCAGAGAGTCGGGATACATCTCTAAGTAATCTAAAAATGATATAAAACTGTGATTTTAGCACGCATCATATTGATCGTTGATTGCAGATTTTGATGTAAAACTGCTCTCAAGTATGACAATTATCAGTTTAAAAAAACAAACAAAAAATATTGAGCAAACTTTTAAATTAACATAAATGGCGATTTCTCAAAACATATATTGATGTTTTGAAAGGTACATGTATATCACATCAATACACAGGTTGTCTTAGGGTTTCGTTGTTACACTTATAGCATTCATATTAACACTTCTGTCTTTATGTTCAAACAATGTTAAAATATTTACTTGGTGATAGTGTTTGGCCATAGTGCTGGGTATTCATGGGAAAGCTCGTTCGTCGGATCGTCTTTCAGAAGGTTGTAAATCTTGACCAGACAGGACAGGACCAGACCCAGACATCTATCATCGTACAGAGACTTCACAAAGTTCACAAACTCAACCCTGTAAATCAAAGACATTAAGCTTTACATCATAAATATCTTCTCAACAAAGCAATATTTCAACTTTATTCAAGACAAAAGAAGTCAAACTCAAACCAATTTTGAAAATTAGAGTTGGTTAAAAAATAAAAGTCATGGTGAAAATAATGTTTTTATTGGTGCACCTACATGACCAGTAACTACAATAAATAACCAATACTCTAACAAAATTTGAACATTCTGATTTACTTCATTAGTCTAGCCTGGCAAAGAGTTATCATAACCATGGTTCTAAGCAACAGTCTTTGAAAAGCTTTCCAATATTTGATAAGCTAAATTATAATGTGTTGCTTCAGGACATGGCTTGTTTTCAGATATTGCACATCTATGTTTCAAGACAATCATATGTTAGAAGTTGTTAACAATCAATGTATGCAGGGTGCAATGCCTGATTGGTGATAACCACAGGAAACAGAGGGAGTCACCTAACAAAAAAGGTAAACCTCAAAACTGACTCCGTAATAACACTCCGCTTTTATATACCGTAAATCTCTGTGTATAAGACGCACTTTATTGCAGCCAAATTTTTTTTTTAAATCGAAAGTCGGGGCAGCGTCTTATACACAGAGATTATGGTAGTGCCCAATACATCGATACAACGATGTGTCTAAGCGCTTTACAGATATATCATTACCCCAGTCATCAGATTCAGGCTTACCCGCACATAATGTATGCACATTCTCTACTCCCTGGGGATCATTCCGGCCAGTCGCCATTTTACAAGCTCATCCCACGACATTAACTTTCGCATCCTACCGGGTACCCATTTAACACCTGGGTTGGGAGTGGCAAATGTAGATCAATGTCTTGCCTGAATCCAATGCACTGAATCCAATGACCGGGGTATTAGTATATATGTAAAGCGCTTAGAGACATTGTATTAAGCGCTATACAAAAGGTAAATATTATTATTATTATTATTGCCAAAGGACATTTTCTCAAGTGTCTAGTTTATCTTGTTCCTACTTGGTCATGATAGCTGTACTAGTCTCTCTGGTGACGGTAGCAGCATTGGCTCCAGTATTACTGCGTTTAGTCTGTGTCGTCGTCTGTGTTGACGTGCTGAATATTGACACCAAAGCTTGGGAGAGGTCCTTGGCCACAGGGCGACACTTGTTGGTGTCAGATGGATCATCTCTCATGCAGAAGGCCATGTACTTACTGATCTGTATTCCAAGACAATAACATACAGACCAGGGGGGTGTTTCACAAAGATCCTATTAAGTGGAACTTATCTTTAAGTTGGGCTTTTAAGTTTAAAAACAATTTGTAAAAGTTATTTCAAAAGGCATAAAATATTGATTCAAATCATTCATATTTTCTATTATCAAGGAGATTTCATGTTCTTGATGTAGAATTTATGACAAGTCTAAAATACTTGAATTTCTGCTTTTGAATATATTTAATTTTAAGGCTACAAATAGCTCTCCATAACTTTTAAGTCCAACTTAGAGTTAAGTTTGGCTTAGAATCTTTGTGAAACACCCCCCAGAAAGATAATATTGGTTATATTATATGAACAATAAAGTATAAAATGCTATGTTATACTTTGCATAATTTAATGCTTTATGTTTCACACATTTTCACACATAGGTTTAATCTTGTCTTATCTTGGGCATAACAATTAAAGGGGCTAGCATCTATATTGATGTCCATTCCAGGATGGCTTACAATTATATTATTTGTATCCATAATTTTGTTTGTACGCTCGGATCAAGAGGAAATACTATGAGAACTATGTTAAAAGCATGCATACTTCAAAGTACATTGTATCACTGCCAGTATAAAATATTGAATCAGTCCTTTTAATAAGATCATTTATATTTGTCTCATATGTTTGCTTTCCAGCATTGGGTGTTGAGGAATGATTAGATACCTACCCTCCAGAAAGGCAATGGAATATCAGCATTGAAGAAACATAACCAGTACTGGCTGTTGAGTAGGAACAAGATACAGTGATCTAAGACCGGCTCTCTAGGCTGGATATCTCGGTCTATATCACAAATGAGAAAGAAGAGCATGTTGTTATTTTATTCCATAACATAATAAATTTAAGGATGATGTGGAGCAACAGTTCCAACTCTTACAAGCTTTGAATGTGGGCCTACCATTGTCCTTAAGCAAGGCAAGGCAATGTGTTAAACTGATAGTTAGCTCTATTCATCCAGATGGAGTCAACAACTACCTCGTTGGTCAAAATACAAAATAGTTTAGAGCACTAAACACTCCCTCAACCCTCTCTGTCATCTTCACTATGAGCTCTGCATCCTTTTACTACCCCTCCTAGGTCTCTACCACTCCCAAGATAATAAGTAAGAAGTTTTATTTCCAACCACCTTAGCCCCCTTTGATCTGCACCCTTTCACCATCCCCCTTCCCCTTCCCTCATCACTATGAGTTTTCATACGTCAAGTCAAGTCAAGTCCACCTGTTTGGTCTGGTCCATTTGTCATAGCCCCTCTATAAATATGTACCCTCTCTACCAATACATTCGCTCTACCATTTAGCCACCTAAGCCCTCTCTGCTTTGCATTTTCAACCTTCAATCTTCTCTCGTTCCCTCCCTCCCTCTTACACTCACCACTGCATGTTCCTAGAAGACATGCCAGGACCATCTGTTTGAAGTCAGGTCCAGCCGCCTTAGCCCCTCTCTGCACCTTCTACTCCCTCTATCCCTCCCTCCTCTTCTTTCCTCCATCCCCTCCCTCCCTCCCTCCATCTTCCACTCACCACTGCGTGTTCCCAGAAGGCAAGCCAGCACCATCTGTTTGAAGTCAGGTCCAGCCGTCTTAGCCCCTCTCTGCACCTTTTACCCCATCCATCCCTCCTCCCCTCTCCCTGTCCTCCTTCCCCTCTCATCCCTCCCAACCTCTTCCACTCACCACTGCGTGTTCCGAGTAGACAAGCCAGGACCATCTGTTTGAAGTCAGGTCCAGCCGTCTTAGCCCCTCTCTGCTCTGCCATCCTCAGTAGATCTACATAGAGGATCTCATTCCTCACACCGGTATAGAGTCTGAAGTAAGCATCCTTGGTAGCCTTACACGCAGCCTCAAGATGATTGATAGCTGAATCATAGTTCTACAGAAAAACACAACACAAGAGAGGCAACATAAGTAGGCGCGATAGCTCAGTTGGTAGAGCAGTGGTCTCGTAATCCAGTGACCCGGGTTCAAAACCAAGTTGATGCGCTAGTGCCCTGTGGTAAGGCATTAGTCCTCATTACCAGGTGCCTTGGAGAGGACCTAAATCCGTCGGTCCTCCAATTGCTTCTTAACAAGCATTTATGCTTTCTTAGCAGTTAGATGAAATAACCATCACCACCACCAAGCAAGTAATGACTAGAATACTTCTTGGTGTAGCAGCAAAAGATCATGCTAACAACTGCAGTCCAGAGCTTTTACAAAGAATATTGTAGGTCAATTTTGCAAGTCTACATCTAAACAAAATTATATAAATAGAAAAATATGCACAGCAGAGATGCTTTTATAAAAAGCAGTTTTACTTGGCCATATATATAGCTGTTATGGTTTTGGTGAGCTTAAACATGGCTAATCCCTTAATTACATCTCCTGAAATGTTACAAGACGTGCAAGGATTGATCATGTCTGACATTTGAATAGAGAATATGGACATAGACTGAACATCCTGAAATTCATTAGTTGCAGCAGATTTAACAAAGGATAGGCGGATGTAGTTCATCTTACCTTCTTCTCAATGCAATGCTGCGCTTTGACCAGTAGAATAAAGATGAAGTCTTGTGACAGTCTGTTGTTCATGCCTTCAATGATGTAGCCATATGCTCTATCCACCTGCCACTGCATGATAGGAAAAGGCAAAAGTATTGCTATCATTTGCAAACTATATTGATTAAGATGTGACATACAACAGTAAAATAATTTGTTCAAGAAATAAGTGCATTCTACTTTGTCTGGGCAGGACATAAATGCTTACCTTGCTGCAGACAGCTGAGAACCTCCTGTTTGGAGCCATCTTATGCAAAGCTCTGAGAACAGACTCCAGCTCGTTGGGGTCTTGTGTGAGGAGAAGTTTGAGCTCCAACTGGCCCATCTGGAGTCCTACGTTATCTAGAAGAAGGAAAAACAAAGTACTGAATAATAATAATAGTCTTATTTTGTATAACGCTCAATACTACGTTTCTAAGCACTGTAATTTTACATTGTAATCATTATTACCGCACATGATAGTGGACATTTTCCGCTTCCTAGGAAATATTTTGGTCAGGCACCATTTTATAAGCACACACGTGCAAATCCAACCACATTAGCGTTTGCATCCGCTTACTTAGTGGATAGTGGCAAATGCAGATTAATGACTTGCAAGGACCTTAGTGCGCAGCGGAACTCGAACTGCAAACCATGTACTTATCCACTAGATCACGACACCTCAATAAACAACAGACGACTGCTCTTATATCTCAAAATTTCACTTTTCTTTTTTTCTCCTAACGTCATTCTCTTTCCTGTTTACTGACCTTCCATCTTCGTAATCCCCTTTTATTTTCTTTGAAATGGGATACATTGTGTGTCACACGTTCTCTCTTTACTCTGTATATGGGCTGATCGGTGTATTAAACTTGAACTCATCTCTACATTCCCAGTCAAACCATGGGATACATCATTATGTACTTAGTCTTCTCAGTCTTTCCTATATCATCTCGTTCAATAACGATAGTATTTTGGTTTTCTATAGTGTACATGATATTTGCCACAATCAACTGCAACTGGGCCTGTTGCATAAATATGGTAGTTGCCATTGATGGCAAAGGTACCATCAATGGCAACTACCATGGTAACAGGGCTCAACAGCCAACCAAAATCAAGGTTTCCACGGTAGTTACATCGATTTCCGGAATAAGACGCAATAAATACACATACCCATGGTGCACGGTGCTAAATATCATATAATCAAACCTTTCTCTTTACAATGTCATGTCATTTACAACCATCACAACAAAATGGAAAGATACATTGCTATACGTAATGATAAAAAAGCTGCCAATGACAGCAGGTGGCAGGGCAAGGCCCAGTGGATGTCTATTGTCAGATAAGTGAAGAAAGATATTTGATATGTTAATAAGCTGTATAATGTTCAATGCATTATGTAATCTAATGTTCATTTTCCCTGGTGGGTGAATCATTTGTCAAATATATCAATGTACCTTGAATTGACAAATAAAAATAAAAAAGACAATTTCAATACAAAAAAAAAATCCCATCACAACCAAGGTGATGCTTCGAGAGTCTTCTTCTTGAATCTCTTACCTCTATGCTGATCCATCTGACTAGTGTCCATACCGGTTTGTTTGCCATCCTCCAACTTGAAACAGCTCAAGAACTCCTGCCTCTCTTCTTCAGAGAAGAGGATACCAAGAGGGCTCTCTAGGATACCCTTACACAGCTTGTCGTCTCGGAATAACAACCTGAAAATAGGAGCAAATCTCATCTTTAAGATGCCATTATCATCATCACCATCAGGCCTCCAAAAAAAAGATGTAGTATTGCCCTTTAGGTGCCAGCACCTTGGTCAGTTGGTTGAATTTTTTTTGCTTTTTGCCTTTTGCTTTTTCCCTCTTTGGGTTGATATTCTATAGTTTTGAATGCTCTAATACAATTTTTAAAATTTTAAAAACGGTTTAAAAAAAAAATTAAACAAAAAGCTGACTGTAGATTTTAAAAATTTTGGGTCGGTCGCAAAGGGCAATACAACAATTTTTTTTAAAGCCTCATCAGTGTACATCAATGTATATGCTGATGTATATCAATAGCCATGGAAAATGTATGCAAGTGTTTCTGCAGGGTTGAGAGTAGGAAGCGTTGGAGACTCAAAACATGCAAACGATGATGATGATTAGTTGACGATGACCAATGACAATGTATGGATATACATGGTTTTAAGGTCACCGTCATGTTCTAAATGAAACTGCCATATGAGATCCCATATAATACCAGCCTCACAGGTATATTAGCATATCAATGTTTATTCTAATTTTCTGCATTATCAACCCTCCATATAGGTTTTTGACAGATTACTTGAAAATAAATTTCTACTACAAGGAACCTAACATCAATATTAATTACCTCAGGAGAGACTTGACATTTGATTTCTGTTGTTCAGTACTCGATGATAACGTCTTCACAACACACTGAAATGCACAATTTGAAAAAGAAAAAAGAAAGAAGAAATTATTAATCAACACATGTACTTGCAATCATATTTCATTCTATGTCACAGTAAGAATGATTCTTCTACTGGTTTGAAACATTGAACTCGATCATGATTTGAATTCATCTGTTTGTGCATCACCAGAAAAAAATCCATTACCATGATTACATACAAATATAACAATACTAATGGGGCATTGCAAGAAAGTTGCGATTGATTGCAAGTTGCAAAATTTACAACTGATATTTGCAATCGATTGCAACTCAACTTTCTTGCAACACCCTACTAGTCTCCTAAATTTCCTAGGATTTTGTTAGTATTAAAGTTTTAACAATTAAATAAGTTAACTAGATTTAGCTTTTATTCTCCCCACTCTCTCTCTCTCTCTCGCTCTCTTTCTCTTACTAATAGGGCATTGCAAGAAAATTGAGTTGCGATCAATTGCAAATTTGCAATTAATTGCTAGACTTACACTTGATTTGGGGGATTTGCAATTGATTGCAACTTTCTTGCCACGCCCAATAAGAATAACAAACAGCAATATATAGCAAATACTTATCACTTCTCCACCAAACAAATGCATACAAATTTCAGAGCATTTTAGAAATAAATCTCATGACCAGAGATGCCAACCTTCTTCAATAAAAAAAAGTATTCTTAAGAGCAAAAAACAGTATTTTTGGACAAAAAACAGTATTTTTGAAAAAATCTCTCAACTTAACATATCGTCCAATCGAGCAGCTTAAAAAACCAGGCAGTACCACGTATACGTACCCGGATCGGAGCGCGACGTGCATACATTACACGTGGGTTGTTCACAATGTGCGCAGTTTGGGGCCCGTATCACCATCCTGCGTGCATCTTTTTAAGATGTAGGTGCATAATAGACTTACGACACAAAGCCCATAATCAGAAATTAAGAAAAACATCACCAAAAAAAAAAAAAAAAAAAAAAAAAATATATAAACAAAAACAAAAAAAAAAAAAAAAATTGGAAAAAAAAAAAAAAAAAAAAAATTGGAAAAATTTAAAAAATTTAAAAAAAGTAACAAAACATACAAAAACGTACTGCCTTATTCATAGCGAAAAAACGGAACAAATACGGCAAAAACGGAACAGTTGGCACCTCTGTATGACCCTAGCTACGTCCATGTATTACATTCCACATGCCTTTGACCGTACAATTTACACTATGAACATGACGGACAAAGAAAGAGGACAAAATATACAGTTCCTCATTCTACCCTCAACAATTGCTTTGGTAGACAAAGGAACATACCTTCACTGCTATGAATATGCATGTAATAGCAGTGAAGGGATGTTCCTTTGTCTACCAAGCAATTGTTGAGGGTAGAATGAGGAACTGTATATTTTGTCCTCTTTCTTTGTCCGTCATGTTCATAGTGTTACCTCTACAAAGAACTGTCTTGCTTCCTGCGGAGAGTGTCGAAGGGTCGTCTGAAGGTCACCAAGGTTTGTCCTACCCTCGGCTGCCCATCGTACCGCATTGCACAGCCCCACCTGTTGTTTGGTTTTGGCAGGAGTGATGGCCGATTTGGTTATGTCGTCACCTAGGCATTCCCTGTACCAGGTAGGGAGCTCCTGCTTGAAGTTATCCTCTAGGAGGATAGACACAATGTCCTGTGGAAAGAAAAAAAGATGTAGAGAGAGAGATAATAATAATAATAATAATTGGATTTATATAGCACCTTTTCTATAGGATACAAGGCGCTGTCTCTTAGACTATCAACAATTAAAGTGGAGTTGTACAGGTATGTTTTCAGTTGTTTTTTAGAGAAATCTAGTGAAGTACCCTTTCTTAAGAATGAGGGGAGTTTGTTCCAGAGACGTGCTAAGGACTGAAAGGATTTAAAACCAGCCTGTTTAAAGGATTTGGGAATGACAAAGGTAGGAGCTGATGAAGACCTAAGAGAATATGATGTTCTCTGTTACTGAAAGAGTGAGGAGATGTATACAAGATATTAAATGCCCGCACACAATAGATTTACCGCTACCAGTTTTCTTATTTGTTTGTTTTTCTTTTAATTTATTTATTTATCAAGCTACAAGATAAAGAGGGAAGCCAAGAACCAACCGGGCTAAGAATGGTTAGACCATCTGGAATGGAATAACAATGCAAGAGAACAGAGATGTGTGGGGAAAAATGAAGCATTTTCATTACTTTTAATGATTCCTGTAACTCACAGAATATAATGGGTGCAGGTAACCTTTATTTAAATCGTTCTAGTAGGAATTTGTTTCCATTTCTATAACTCTAACTACACATACTACTGAAAATAACTTGAATGTAATTCTCGCTGTCAGGTACAACCAGGGGAAAAAATACTTTAACAATTTTTGGGGCTACTTTTCAAGCTTGCTTGCATGAAAATAACACTCTTTAATTTGTTTTGCATTGAACTCTATGCAAATATTTGCAGGCTCTTTTATGACTTTCGGGGGCTCTTTTAAGCATTTCGGGGGCTAAATCGCCCTCGTGTATTTTTTTCACCAGGTATAACACACACCTGATAGTTTCTTGCTTTGCTAGCCTCACATCTGGAGAGTAGAGGCTCATTGGATGGTAGCCTGTTTAGGTTCTGACCAATCAGGGCACTGCATGCAGCAAGATAACCTTCAAGCTTTGAGCCTTCAGGAGAACAGTAGAACGAGGTTTCAACCTAATGATAAATACATGAAGAGAGAACAATTACTAATTTACACAAGCACATTTTACTTCTGGTGATGAATTGTCTCCCAAAGCTAGGCAAACTTTAACAATTTTAAGAAAGGCATTGCAGTACAGACTACATTTTCATGTTGTATATTGAGCAAATAAATAAATAAATAAATTGCTATATAGTTATGGTTATTAGTCATCTCCTCTATGCATATCAGAATATAAAATGACCAAGTCCTTGTGAAGGCCAATTTTACTAGTTTCTCTTAGGTAGCCTTTCAGTGTAAAACAAGCATGAAAGTGTATGTCTAAAAAACTTTTCTGTTTTGTATGAATAAACCTTTCTCCTTCAAAATATTTAGTCACGCACTAACCCCAACTTGATAACATATGGGTAATTCCATAAATTAGGAACCCACTTTGTGACATTTTTTGGTGTCCTTGTTACATAAGGAACCCACACATATTTATAGCTCAGAGTAAAGGCTTAGATAGTGGAGTGAGATTGTAAAGTGACTTCCAAGCATAATATTGCATCCTCATACCTATACTCACTTAAAGAGAAGGTTGAGTTCTGGGAAGAGGTGAAAAATAATTTGTGAGCATTACTCATTCTTATTATGCAAGTGTGGAAGAACATCAGTTAAGACATGTTCCCTGAAAAGCATGGCTCTTCAAATGCCTTCATATTCTAAATATGCATGTAACATCGTAAAAATCGGGGGCCGGCTTTTTACGCCACGTGTTCGTGTAATCCCATATACATCTTTCTGTGCAAGTGTTTGTAACTTTACCAAGACTTGGCCAAATTTCTTATCATTTTGATGATTCCAGAACCTTGCAATACACACAAATTCTTATATGCTAGATGATCAACCTTTTCTGGTCGATTCCACACCGTTTCTTTCACAATGCAATCGCATGACCAGAACTCAACTTCATCTTTAACAATCATACTCCACTATTTAATTCTTTACTCAGAGCCCCACATACGTGGGGTTCCTTGTGTAACAGGGACACCACAAATGTCACAAAGTGGGTCACTAATTTATGGAATTAACCATATTCAAAATGATATTTCAGCTCCTAGTTTTTACCTTCGGAGAGAGTTCTTGTACTCTCTGGAACATCTCTGCAGCCTTCCCGTACTGCTGCTGATGAAAGCAGTAGCAGCCGAGGTCATAGTTCAACTGCCAGAGGAATTCTTCCTTGGTGACCTTGATACCTTGGTGGTGTGGAGCAGGTAGCTTGATGGGAGAACTGTTAGCATTGGATGATGATGGTGATGATGGGGTGGGTGAGGAGGAGGACGATGCTGGGATGAAGTCAATGCCAATGAAGGTGTGGGTGTCTGGGAAGTAGATGTCTCGATCGAGGGGTAGACATCGCTCCAAGAAGTTGAGGGAATCGGGGAGAGTATCCTTAACCTGTTTGCACAGAGAAAATAATTATATATCCTGCAGGTGCATTCATATATAAGCTTTAAATATTCTCCTTTAATTTAATTTTGTTATTTTACTGTCATGACAGGAAATGATGGAACTGGGTTTTAGAAGATATATTGCCTCAATAAGTATTAATCTCATTTTTAACTTGTATGACATCACAAGAATTAAGAATAACATGTGGACCCAATCGTCACACCAATGTAGCCGAGGCAATAAGCCATGCTTAATTAATGAAAACTCATTGTGAATATCTATACTCCACATTTTAAGATGATGTCATCAAGTAGATAGCTTTCAGGTCAATAATTTCCAATTTTCACAGGTTTATATTTCAATTTTTCAGAGAGCTGTTACTCCTCTGACAGAAACTAAAATAGTTTATAGTTGATATTATTGTAAACTATGGCTTATAGGCTTTCACTTCCAACAGGGTTTTTAAAGCAATGTAAAGTTTTGTCCCTGACTGATCCTCTGTCATTGCTCTAGGTGTAATAAAGGTACATGTATCAATGGAAGGATGAGAATACCTTATAATAACTTACCGTTTTCATGACCATATCATTTACACCAGCCACATTGAAGGCACTGAAGAAAAAAATAACATACCTCAACATTACTCCTAGACAATAAAAACATGGTTAGTACATCTTTTATTTGATAGCTTAGATGAATTGTAAATGATTTCCTGAAAAAAAGTTTTTTTCAAAATTATTGTGGTAAAATTGTTAATTGAATTATTATTTCATGACCAGAACAATACTGGAATGTGACTGACTTAAAAGTGATTCCATAACAAATATGGGATATAGTTCTGATTTATATATTTTGTATATCATTTAATACTTTCATGACTTTAAGTACACAAGGTTAAGATCGAAAAAGATTAATTGAATGGTTTAAAGATAAATACAGGTGTATACAAAAAAAGCAAATCCTTAACACTAGCACATACATAACTCTTTGTTTTCTGTCTATTTTGTAAGAGAATGTCTTACATGATTTTAATTTGTGCAGGAGGCAAGGGTTTGATATGATTGACTTAACCCATTGCTTACTTGAATCTGGTTGCCCCTGTATTAAGCCAATGGTATTGTATGAATTAAGTATTTAATGGGTTAAAATGCACATCTCACCAAAGAACACAATCTAAGCATATCCAAACATTGATAGACATTGTAATCTTATGATAAGTCTGTATGTCTTACCTCAGTACCTGGGCCGGGCCCGTTTCACAAAACTTGTCATCAGTGACAAATTACAGTTTTTTTATAAGCTAGTGAAATCCTTGCTTCTGATTGGTTATTAGCAGATTTGTCACTGATTTTTGTCATTTGTCATTGGAAAAAGGCCTTGTGAAACGGGTCCCTAAACAAAACCTTGCAAAATGATAAGTATAAAGCTTACCCAGGAACATTACCAGGTGGTGTCTTGATGAGCTTGGATGGGACTGATCTCTCCACAAACGTTCTTACACTCCTATAAAAACAAAAAACAAACTTTATCTTATTGCATTGGAAGAAACACTTGTTTTCAGGAGCTTTTGAACAGTTTTATTTTTTTATTGTGTGTCTGTAAATGAGCAAGGTTAGGAGTTTTGCTTTCATCACAGCGCATTAGAGTATATTTATATCAGTAGTAGCTGCGCTATATAAATTAATCTAATTATTACTAATATTATTATTATCATGTCAAATAGTTATTACTGGAAATGCAAAACTGAAGAGCGTATGATAATGTTACAAGCTAGTCTACTCACAAGTCAGTTTCAGAATCATTCAATAAGAGTGTATTTATACTTGCAAAGTTGCAATATATTTTCATAATAGCGATATTATAATGATAAGGTCATCTTCTACATAGAGTATAGGGGCACGGTACTGTCGGTACAATTAATATAAAGAGCAAAATATTATTGGTTGGCCCCCATCAAGGATATTCAGATTTTAAAAGAAACACAAATAAGGCTTGTCCAACCTACTCACCATCTATTGTAGATAGTCAAAGCGACCAGCACAGAGTCATCTAAGCTACACACATCTGTCGTTGGTTGGATGTTAAGCTCTGGAGGAGAAACCCACTCAACAAAATCCTTGAGAACCTTATGCACCATGTACAAGGGAAGGCTGCAGGTTGAAAACAAGAGAAAGCTAAAAATAATTTGTACTTCTAATTTTCTAAATCCCCTATTGTTGAGTGATGTTAAATGTCTTCCACCGCAAGAAGTCATAATCTTGATCTCACATGTATGATGTACTATTGTCTTGATTCAGAAATTTTCTTTCTCATGATCTCATCAATAATCCATGAATAAATATTAACACTAATGAGATGAACTTTAAAATCTTTGAAATCAGAATATGTCTAAGTGGAAGAGGAATAACAGGAATGGTACACTTGTGTATCTAATTATTTTTCTGGATGCACAAGTGAATGCTATGATTGTCTTTTCTTTGGGGTTTAAAGCCCCTCTGGACTAGTTTGGTAAGGAGGGATTATACCACCCTGCAAGGTCACTGACATGTGGTTATCTCATCAAATCAGCTCTCAATTAACATAAGAAAAAGAGGATCATGGGGGACCAAAGGGTACCGCTTAGGCATTGCTTAATAGAGGGCGTAAGTAGCTATAAGTAGTGCGGTGGAGCTTTAATACCTTGTTTGGAGGAAAGAGAAGTCCCACTTGAGATGGGCCGCCACCTTGAGTGCCATGACCTTGAGGGAGTGAATCTTCCGTAGTTGACTTGGAGACTCTTCATTGTTTGCCTCTTTGATGGACTGGTCTACAAACTGCTCAAGGAGATGAGTTGCCGATGGTTCTGCAAAGAATTGAAGACGGGTGACACACACGTAAAGTAAAAACAAAAACTGATCTATGATAATTAAGTCATGGCAAATGTCCATTTCCAAAATGTATTCAACCTGCAAATTTAAATATAAGGGGCATAGTCACATATCAAGATCTAAATATATATATATAGATCTATATATATATATATATATCTGATTTGGTGGTCTATTGAGTATTGACTTATAACTTATAGTTATTAATATTGTTATATCTACATGAAATCTGGAATTATAAATGTTTATTAGACCTATAATCATGATAATAAACACTGAATTAAGAACAACTTCATTTCAATGAACTGTATAAATATCACTACTAGGCTGTCTTACAACAAACACAACAGATATAGACTAAATCATTTAAAAGGTCTAGTCTCTAGAGTAAACTATGTTTGTGTTTTTTTCAGTCTAAGAGTAAGAGAAAATAAACCTCTCGAGATGCCAGAGCGAGGAAATAAAAATATTTCAACTAAAAAAAACTCATTCTTTAATAAAGTTAAACATAGAATTTGCATTATCTTTCAGAGTACAATAGCGGCATCATATATGATGCAAATCTTGTTAAATGAATACACGAACCTGGATTCTCACTACTGAGATGACTTTCCAATAGCCCAGGCTTCAATAGAAATTCAAACCATATCATCGGAGTTGGAGGAATAGCAGGCGAATCACTACGACGATTTTCCATAGGTGGGACCGGAGAGTCAGCTCTGACCTCATTCATCATGTTCATACTCATACTTAGTTAGCTTGATACGCGGATATCCATGTAACGAGAATGTATCTTACGAGTTGTCCTGGGATATTTTGATAATTCTTTCTCAGATAATGTATTGCAAAACTCTCATTTGATAAAAGTTCAGTGAATATACCGTTAGATGTAAAACCTCAGCGTTCCCTTATCTTAGTAGGTCACGTGATCCACATCTCCTCAACTTGTAAACATTATACACGTGGATCTAATCTACCGTATACACGCGGAAGCGTCTTGTCGTTATGCTCATGTGTTGTTTGGACACTGCACCTTCGGCCTTCGCCATTATCTTCGACTGTTCAAAGTCCTTCTGAATGAAAAATCCTTCGTCAAAATTCATGTTTAAGGGTCGTTCTGATCATTTTAATGTGTAGCCAATAGGGAGTATATGGTGAGTAATTCCGCTTTGTTTTAGTTTGAGTGGAACGTAGGCCTACTTGTCATCATAATATTGCACATGATCAGATGATCTGTTGTATGATTATGAACACTGCAGTGATATTGAAACTATGATCGCTTCGTTTATTATAGTATTACTATATTAGTAATGAATGTTAATACAATATCAAACTGACAAATCTCTAACAAGTAAAGACAAGTTAACTTAAATGTTTGTCTCATGGTAGTGTGTGTGCTATCTTTGTTGTTGAATAATATTATGTTATGGTAGATCGGATGTCATGTCATGAGAATTGAACTATAGACCGTTTACTCTTTCAGTACATGATGTATGATGTATTAAGTGTGTTACTGTTAGGGGTTTTTCTCACTCGCGATCTCCATCTCAGTCTCATGCTGTCAACTATGCTGACGTTCCCACTTCCGAGCGGTCATTTTAACTTTGGGAGCGTACGGCGTACTAATGCGTCACTTAATTGCCAAAGTTATGGCATGCAAGATGCAAAGCTTACTCAAACAATTTCTCACACTCGTTTATGCACATTCGAACAGTCATAATGAGACTAATCGAGCATACAAACACAGATTCATGAATATACAGTTATGAAACAATAACATAGTCCGGAAAGTATATAATAATAATTATCCCTGCTTATATAGCGCCTAACACTTACTTTATCAGAAGTCTCTAAGCGCTCTACAATAATGCAGCATAATTACCCTGGCTTTAGCAGTGCAGCTGTTACGCGCGCTGCGTTTCAACTTTCAAGGAATAAATTCCTACCAGGTACCCATTTACTTCACCTGGGTGGAGTATATCATACCTTTAACTTAATTGTTTTTGATTTGATGCAGTAGATCAAACTTCAACAAGTGCCATGGAGCACAACAAAACAACATCAGCTGTGCTAAACAAACAAAGTATGGTTGCCAGTATATACACTTGAACTACACAACTTGAGACCTTGCTGTGACCTGCTCTGACCCTGACTTCTCACTGACCAGTCTATCTGTTGGCCGGTAGTTGTTTTATGGCGTTCGTAAAATGCCATATCTTCAGTCATACAAGAAAATTCAGTTATCAATAAAGAAAACCAAAAATAACAATTGTGATAAGGCCAAATAATAAAAAATAATGTGTTTCTCGTTCCGGACTTGTTTTAAAAGGGAGGATCGGGCAGGGCATTACTATTTACTTTTTTGCAATTTTTAGTTATATTTTTCCATGATGGCTGCCATGCTAATAATAGCCGCATGGCTAAGCCTATTTATTCACAGATATTGTTCCATGTGAGTGTACTGTCTGATGCAATGTATGACAAAACAAATGATTATTATCTAAATGATTATTATCTAAAGAAAATGTAAATCACAAGCTTTTTTTTTGCGAGGGGGGGGGCTTTTTTTCTTCTGAATAGTAAATAGTTACATTAATAATTTAAGGAGGCAGGACGAGAAACTTTAAATTTTTGTTATTTGGGCTGTTTTAATTAATTCACCATTCTATAAAACAATTAAACTCTGGCTTTTATGCCCAGTCCCTACCTCTTACTCTTAGTTCTGCCCCTCTCCCCCCCCCCAACTCAATTCTACAAGTGCCCTCTCAAGGCCTATTTTGTCACTCGCAGTGTTGGTACTTTTAACTTTTATTACTACATTTGTAGAGGTATCGTAGTTGAGTTTTCTAATCACTCAACTGATAATTCAAAGGTCCTGTCTTTGATCCCGGCCGGCACGGTAATTATGTCATTGAGCAAGGCATTTTATCTACATTGCTCCTCTCCACCAGGTCTCAAATTAATTTTTTGTCCACGGGGGCTCTTCCAAAAAAAAAAGAGCCCCTGTGAGCCTTCTCACAGGGGCTCTTTGGGTGCTGACGGGGGCTCTTATTTTAAAGGTACTACAAAGTTTTGGGAAATTTTGAAAATTGGGTGAATAGTGAATCTTTACAATTTTGATATATTTGGATGCCCCTGTGGATATATTATATTTATAAGCACTAAAAAAATTAGCCCCTAAAACACTTCTGTTTTTGAGAAAATTTGAATATAAAAAATTACCGGTGGTCCCGGTAAATTTTGATAAATTTCAAATAGCGCCTATGGCCGTACAATGGTAGCTGCGACCATGAAAATCTCAGAATATGTAGATGTGACATATAATTACCAAACGGGAATAGCTAATTAGTCGATTTTAGTCAAAAAACATTGTTTTATAGCTTAATTAATATCTTGACCTTGAGAGGGAGCTACAACATAAGAAGTTTATTATTTACAATTTCATAAATTTATACTTGATTTCAACCGCGACAACGATCAATGTATATTTTAGGAACGCATACGCTTCCAATATGTTAATTTGAACCAAATTCATGACCCCATACCAAAACTTTGTAATACCTTTAATACAAATTTCCATTGAATTGGTACCCATGAAACTCCTAAATCCCTTGGTATTTTGTCATTATCATTTATTTAAGTCGGCGATTTCCCTCTTAGAAACTTGTTACATAGCTGTTATTGACTTTTATACCCGTGATGACATTCTCTCCATTTCTTCCCGTTCTGCACATAATGTCCTCCTCATTATTCGGAGCAACCTTATTTACATTCTTTCTTTAATTTTAGTCTTAACCATATCCTTCCAAAACACAGGGGCGGATCTAGCTTTTTGCTAAGGGTGTGGGGGGGGGGGGGTAACCCAAATACAATGTGGAGCGAGCTATAGCGTGGTCATAGGCAACCGTAGACAGTCTTAGTACGAGCGGCATACGAGCTACCTACGAGCTAGATACGCAATAGTGTGACTGCTACCTTCAAATTTGCCACGTATTGCTGGGAACGGCTGCGTATTGATATACCTCGTACAGCGCAGCAATACGCAGCATCATACGCAAAGGTGTGACTGAGGCATTACCTTTCTACTAAAACTATCATTTTCTTCATTAAACAGAATCTGATAGGCCTGCCTGCATGTTACAGTTAATAGTTACATTAAAGGGCTCACAATAAAGCCTATCATACTCTACTTTCTCAAAGATAATTTAAACATTTCAAATAAGGAGCATTTTTTTTTTCTGCTGGTTTCAGGATGTAGCTACATGTTGATACTGGAAGTGGGAATGCATTGAATCTTTCTCCAATATTTTTATTATAATTTCCCTTGCAAAATACAAAAAAATAGGCATTTTCACCTCTTCTTTGTCAAAGGGTCATTTTACAAAAAATGAAATATTAAAGTGATCTTCTGATGACACACTCCTTTGTGCGCACTGCATGTATTTATGACTCACTTTATGTGTAGTTATATTGAAGAGTGTAAATCTAGAAGTATTCTTTATACCATTATTTATTTTATATACAATCTTTAATTTAAAGGTTATTGCACAGATGAAGCTTGTCTATGCCATATATTTTGTTTGAAATCAACATCATTTTGAATGAAGTGCTTCCCTCTGGAAAGGTGTATCATTTTGTGTCCATGCTTCCTGTCATTCTATGAATATATTATTTACCTTGAGACATGATTGATACACTATATATTTGTTAATATGATTGGTTTTAGGTAGACTTGTCTCTTGAAGTACATGTATATGAATAGACATGCTTTTTTAATTTTCTGAAGTGTCGCCTGTCGGCCTAGTGTCTGTGAGGTATTTTGGGAGCAGCATGAGTTCTGTGCTAGTATCAGTAGTTCAGTACATGGTTGATACAGTTGTGTTATGTAAACATGTAGTGGTTTTTTAGTTTATACAATTTATTTTATAGCCCATGTTTATGTAACTTTAAAAAGTGCATTGGTGTCTTTATAGTGCATGCTCACCAGATGATAAAGTACATTATTGAAAGAATTCTTTTTTACATTGGTTTGAGTGGAATGTATAAATTTAATTGTTTTATTATGTACACCTGTAGCTGTGTGCATATCAGGAGTATTTAGCCTCTAGACCTGGTCTAAAACCAATTATACCGCCCTCTCCTGCCAGAGTTGTCAGGCAATGTTTGTATTATAAACAGATTACAGATCCTCCTCTTAACAAAGCTAGATTTCATTTATGAAAAATCCTTTCCCAATAACCTTGAGCTTTAATTCATTTTATTTATTTATTTATTTATTTATTTATATAAGCATGTTCACAATTTCACAATTCATTGAAGTTAACATCACATGAAAAATTATTATAAGATGACAAATCATTTTCATTTTCATTTTTTATTGTAAGGTTGCTTCAATTTCAAAGTAATAACAGGCTGTCAGGCTGTTTTAAAGTAACACATGTATTTGTAGTACAATTTTCCTTACATTGTGCCCAAAACTTGACAAAAAATTACAATGAAAATGGGAAATCGGAATGTAGTGTAGACAATAGGAGACTTAATAGGAGAAATCATTGTGCCACCCTCCCTCTACTATTGCGCAATGATGCTGTAGTTATTCCCCTTTCTTTATATGTAGTTTTTATTTAGAGACATTTTGACGATGTGCGAAATACATTTCAGGATTTAACTCAATATTTGACAGAGGTGATTCTGCTCACATGCATGCTCCTCATATTATTGGCAGTTTTTGGCACCTTAAATTAGCTTAAATATAAACAGATATAATCTCTAAATATTATGCTCTCACTATTTGTTAGTCATTAGATGATTTATATGGGCTATTTATAAAGACTAGCATGTTTGTTACGAAAGCTGAAATATAATGAACTTTGAAACATAGGAAGAATACAGTTGATAGAATGTTCCAGGTTAATATTTTGTGGTTTCAAGGTCTTTGGT